GGATGGATGGATTGATGGTTGGATGATGGATTGATGGTTGGATGATGGATGGATGGATTGATGGTTGGATGATGGATTGATGGTTGGATGATGGATGGACGGGGTCAGTATTTAGTGCTATTTTATCTTCATCTCACTGGAATTAAAATCTTTTTCCAGGTGGTTCTGGCCAGCCCAAACCAGCTGAGATGATCAGAACTTCCAGGCTGAAACTAAAGAAGATCCTGATTTTCCAGACATCTGGACAGCAGTGATCCCAAAGTTAAATACCTTCAACCAGGTGGTTGAATAACAATCTGGACTGCAGGTAGAATCAGAACCAGAGTTCTGCAGCCAGTTTATTAAAATTTCTAAAATATAATCTTTAAATGAGTCGATTTGGTGAAACATCTGCTCTGGTTTTATTTCAGCAGCACTGACTGTTTACCAGCCTTCAGACCAGTTCCCTGTCAGTTGCTCCGGCTTTATTACTAATCAGGGTCAATTCAACCTGAGCTCCCTTTCTTTTCTGTCTGTGCAGGAAAAGAGGAGAAGTTGAGCCTAATAATGTTCTGTTTGTTACTCGGTCCTCGTCTTGTCTCTGAGTGAAGGTAACACGTTAGAAGAACACTCGTATTTGGATCAGAATGTTCTGAACCTCGCTGGACGGCAGCTTTCTGTCCTCGTCACTCAATCTGTGCGTGCACAAGCAAGCACAAAAGGTCACAAGGAGGCGAGAAATAAACCCTGCTGTGAGAGAATAGGTCACTCAGTGAGGCGCCGTGGCATTTGGACCTGATACCAGCACTGAAGTCCAGTTGGTTCCAACAGACAGAATTTATACTTAATGTTAAGTCAGTCAGGAGAAGAACAAAAACAATCCAGGTCATGATCCTGGAAAAGTGCAACCTCTTCCGTATTCATCAGCTGTTCATCATCAGTGTAAAGTTCCCTTTACAATCAGAAGGTTCCTGCTCTGAAGCACACAGGTCAGTGATGGCTGCCCCATAGGGGGCGCTGGGCGCTGCTCTCCACAGACATGGAGGGGAAAAGTCATAAATAATATATAAAGATTTTACTTAATAATATGTGGCTACATGTACTATCATTTATCAAAACAACCCTTCTACCGATTGACTCTCATTCAACAGTGCTTTTCCACCGACAGAACGTATATTTTCTCTTCTTGGGCACTCATTCAAAGCGCCCCTGAAGTGAAAAAATTAATTATATAATGTTGCTGGGGAAAATTAAGTATTTGGCCAATCAGCATCACCAAAATAAGGGCTTCAGGGCTCCTGGAATATTGGCCCCTGCTACAGTGATATAGGTGATATAGCTACTAGTCAGTCAGGCAGTTTTTAATTTTTTATATAAAAAAAAAATGTTTTAATTATTTGTTTATGTTATATTGTGTCCGGTTGGAGTTAGATGATTATTTTATGGATGTAACATGTGTTAGCGGTAGCAAGTTTTAGCCTCGTATTGGTCTATTTATAGCTAAGCTAATTTGCTTGTTTTATTAGAAGCTCAGAATAATTTGTGTGTTTATCTGCAATCTGCTTAGTTTAAACGGTTGTTTATTGGATTAAAAGGAAACGTAATTGTGTTTTTTCTGCTTTTATTTTCTTATAGCTCTTACGGTGAGTTCATATGCTGCCTCCAAAGACCATTCTAAAATAAAAGAATATGAACCATCAGTTAAAGAGTCAGACAATCAATTAGCCGTGAGGTAGAGATCATGGCGACGACGACAGTTGAACTTGAAGAGCAGCTTTCACACAGTTCAGTGAGATCTTCACTGAGTTACCCGTTCACGAGAAGCACGATGGTGGAAAGAATCCATCTAAAGGAGCTGGGAGCTGACAAGCCTGAAATAGATTTAATGCAGCGAACTGAGGAAAAAGCTGAATCCTACAGCTGGACTTTTAGCAGGAGTTGGTTCCAGCGTAAGTCGTAGCTGACAGCCTGTGGGACAGCTGATGCACTTTGTTGTTTTCCCTGCATTCTTTTTAAAAGTGACCAGAGTAGGGATGCACGATATAATCGGCCCCCTATCCATATCGGCCTGTATCGGCCTTAAAACTGAAATTTGATCAGCTTCTGAGTTTCTAAAGTTTCAGAAATCCCCTGAAAATTCACAAAATTTTGCCATATTTTTATATGTTGATATATTGACGCTGTATCGATCTATTTTACAGACAAAATCTCAGAAGAATTTGCAAAATATCACGAGTTTGTAACAGAACGATGAAATTTCACGAGATTTTGAAAGTAAAATAGATCGATACCGCGTTTTTAAAAATCAATTTGATATCAGCATATGAAAATATATTTGAGTATATTATTTTTCAAAGT